ATTAAGTTTTGAGTCAACTGTAGTCTTGATCTTCACACCCATAACAAACTTGTCACCTTTTTAACAAGTAAATTGTATCAACTATAGTCCAGTTCACCTCTAACATCAAGGGTCCATCAAACATACTCAGCCCTGCAACTAGTTTGTTATGTGACTGTGTGACAATGAAAGCAACAGGATTTTACGAGATTGTTTACAATCTGTATGACTGAAGATACTCTAAAAGGATCTTCATCAATATCCAGAAAAGATTGTTAGGTCTTAAGGAACATTTAGAAAATTTTTGCTACACACCTTTTTGACAAGGTCACGCTTTTCCGATTTTTTCATTCAAATAAACAATTAGCCTCCTGCTCAATTTTTCCTGCCAGTATCTAGGGGTTCTACATAATAAATTCAATTCTTGATGCAATCACATTTAGTGACCAATGTTTTTGTAAATTTGCAATGTATTGTTACCAAACTTTGCCTTTTTTACTAAACTCAGCATGATGTATTGATCTCTGGTTGTGATTTTTTGTGTAAATGAAACAATACAAAAAAAATTTTAACATTATGGCTGTACATGGCATTGTCAAAAAGGACCATTGTAAACATAAATTTTATGAATTAATCATTACTGTACATCAAAACATGTGCAGTAACTTTACAAAATAATGATAATGATAATGATAATGATAATAGTTATAATAAAAACAAACTTTTTCATACAAACTTAAATTTTACATGTATCTGGTAAAAAAAAAAGTAATAATAAAAAATAAAAAATAGCAGTAAATAATAATAATAACTGTACCTGAATCAGGAAAGTAGTCGTCAATGTTCTCAAACCCATGTGAGTCTTTTCTGGCTTTAATGTTCAAAGGAACTCCAGTGCGTCTACAAGAAATGTCGTTTAAAAACATTGAGCACATTCAAAATGGTCACTGAATGAAGTTATAATAACGCTGGAGGACACAACTGAATATCTTGCCAGTGAAAACCTAATTACAACAGCAAATAACCTTTTAAAGGTTTTGTTTCACATTCAGCCCACCAAGCTGAGTCGTAAAGGAAAAGTGACAGGTGGAGTACAAAGCAAATTCACAGACTTTCAAAGGATTCCAGTGCTGTGTTTCAAGAATAATTTATAGAGTAATTTTAGTCTGAAACTATGATAAATTGATTGTGAGGTTTCTTTAGACTGAACTTGTTACAGATGTAAGCAGTATTAAGCAATGTTTTGTTCCTGTACAAAAAGTCTGCTTTAGCCTTTGTATCGATAAAACATTTTGTCTGTGAGATTTTTTTTTTTCTGAGAGCATGCTTAATACAGACACCGAGATACAAGTCATGTACATGCAATACAGCAAATATGGCATGCGCCCTTCGTGTCTACTGTATGAAACAGATACATACATATGTATGAGCCAGATTATATGGCTTATTGCTTTGGTTTTGCAGGCCCATAATAGGCCCATGGGCATTACACGTATACAGGAGAATAACATTCTAGAATTAGTCAATCAGAGCACATGTTGTATCAGCTACAAACACAATCCATATAATAATAATAAGCTGTATTATTTGAGTTTTCCACTTTTCTTCAAAGGATTCTCAAAATTTCTCCTAATTTTACCTTCCTATGCGTGGATCTTGAAATGGATCATTTGGAAGATGCAACTCGTTTGTAAAAGTGTTTCTTCGAGCAGCCTGCAATATTATTGTAAAAGCAACGTTTAAAACAGTGATGAGCAGTGATGAGCTGTAGTGAACTATTACACTCAGTACACAGTATATTAATGGAAAAGCAAATTATAAGAATTCCTGAAAGGTAAGTTTTCTACCACAACGCTAGCTGTTCGATCACGTAGCAAAACTTGCACCAGCCGTGCAAACAGTTGTAATAACCCCTCGTCACAAATCACGCAAAACTTGTACCATCTAAGATCCATTAAAAGCTCAACATATATTCATCTTAAGACTATATTATTCATCAGTGTGGTGCTCTACATACAAACCAAACTAGGGAAAGCAGTGATCAGCAATTTCACAGACTAAATTTGTCAAAGCTTATCGCATTTCAACCAACCTTGGCAGCCGCCATCTTGGCTTGACCAGTCCTTTCAGCTTTACATTTGCCACAACTACTCGCAAAACACACTTTCAGTTGCGGTAGACACGGAACTGGACAATCGCTAGTCAATGGATTGATCTGTTCAAGATTTTTCCTTTGTTGAAGCGAGAAAATCAACAAAATGTTTTGATTTTCGTGTTTTTCGACTTTCCCGCCTGCGTCGGTTGAATAACTCCCGTCATACCTTGCTATCTTAGTGCATGAGCCGCTGACTATGTTCGCAGGCACATGTTAAGATTTGCCCTGATCAATAAGGAATTAGTTTCGAAGGGAAAAGTCAGACACTAGCTCCTGGTAGTAACAGAGAAGTAACAGGTTAGTTCTGTCTTGTTTTTCTTTCGTTTTATCTATTTAGGTCTCTGCAAAGCGAATATACAACACCCTCCGCTGGAACGATCGAGTGGTCGGAGACCGTTCTCCGACAGGCCTTCTGTTCAAATGGTCAAAATCAATACCCGATTTGAGACCAAAACGGCTCAATAACCATGATACCATTTGGCACGTCGCATACCTATGTAGCTGTTAATTAAGGACTTATCACTTCCATATCCTACTAGCTTTGGCTGAGTCTAATACACTCACTCCCATAACTTCCACTTACTGTTTGTAACATTCTGTTGTTTTTATTTGCTCTACATTTAGGTATCAGTGTCATTGCTTACAACAATGCTGAATGCCTTGCCATGGACAGCATTTGAACATGACAAAGGTCACTTCTGGGTCCACTATGGTCTGTGTGCATTTGGCTTCCTGTTAGCAGTTATCACCTTCATATCCCAGACTAGAAAGCCTGCGCCTTACGGCCGTCATCACAAATCCAACCAATCATGTGGCCCCATGGTTCATCAAAGAATAGCGCATACAATTTCAGATGCCACCCCAGGGGTTCTTTTGTTTTCATTGGTCTTCTTCCTCTATGGAACTCAAAGAGAATATCCCAATATTACATTCTTCTGCCTATGGCTTTGTCATTACATACATCGTGGAATTATCCACCCCTGGATCATGAAATACAGCAGTCCAACGACACCATTGGGTATACCCCTTGGAGGACTGTTCCCTAATCTTCTTTACAGCTTCCTTAATGCTGACTGGATTGGGTCTGCTGATTATGACCCTGGTTACTACAAAGACCCACGATTCATCATTGGCATCATGGTTTTTATCACAGGATACATTATTAACCGCTGTGCAGACATAGCTCTTTGTAACCTAAGAGCACACAACAGTGTAGGTTACTCTGTCCCACATGGAAGCTTATTCGACATGATTTCTTGTCCCAATTATTTTGGTGAAATGTTAGAGTGGTTTGGCTGGGCCTTAGGGACTTGGTCATTAGCAGGGACAGTGTGGTGGTTGTTTTCCTGTGCTACTTTTGTTCCTCGTGCTAGGCACAACCATCAATGGTATAAGGAGCAATTTCCCGATTATCCTGAGAATAGAAAAGCTTTGATTCCCTTATTGTATTGAAAACAGTGGGACCTTTGTTAAGAGGACATCCTTAACACAATGAAAAGTGTGTTCTTAACAGAGGTGTCCCTGTTTTAGGGGTAATTCACAATGTAGATACAAAGTGTCTCAAAGTAGAGGTTCCACTTCAAATGTTTGTTGCTATGCATTCATCACTGGTGGAGGGGAGGGGGGAGTAACAGGTTAGTCAGAACATCCCACGGCCAGTGCCCTGCTCTCCCGCTTTTCGTACATCTTTCACCTGACTCCTGCCTTTTTCTGCCTGGCTCCCATCCCATGTTAATTAAGGGAACTCAAAACACATCCCAGTCATTTGGCTGTGCTACTCTTAGGCATTTCCTTTGTTTTGAAACACTTGCTTGTCTCTTTTGTCAGCTTATGTGGCACATGTGTACTCATGCCACTTGACATTTCATGACTTATGACATAACCAGTGTGAAAGGGTTTACAATTTCCCTGGAGTGAGCCTGTCTTTTAGCCCAAGTACAAAGTTTTGTTTGTTCAAAATGTTTCCTCAGAAGTCTCGGAAGACTCTGAATGAAATCAAATGACAGTTTGGGTTCTTGTTTTTACATTTCTCTCTGCTTCCCACCCTCTTAGAACTCCCACTTCCCGCCCTTCCCCCATCTCCCATACTTCTCCTGCCCCTATTCTCCCAGGCTCCTGCCCAATTTCCCAACCCCCCTGACCGCAGAGACCCGAGGAAACCTGCTGATCTATAGAGTGATAGATAGTTAGACATTCTTAAATTGTAATAGAAATACAAATAGAAGACTAAATTTTGGTTCTTTTTCTAAAGTGAGATGTACTTGTATCTTATTTGGTCAATGATACTTGCAACAAGTACTTTTCCACTGATAAAGGGCTCAGCCCAAAACATCTGGTACAATTTAAACTTTATAGTACTAAACACTTTAAGATGCGAGAACTCTTAAGTGAGAAGTTTTTCTTTATTTCAAACATTATGGCACTTCACACTTGGATAAAAGAACTTTGATAACTTTTTTTTTTAATTTTAAACATTATGGTACCACTTAGATGCGAGAACTTTGAAAGATTTTTTTTTTTGTTTTAATATTATTTCAAGTTTCCATTACTGGAAATGACATGCAGTAGTGTAGTCTTTTAAAATCCCTTTTAATGAACCATGCAAGCTTCTTCTTTTCTTTCTTCTACAAGATGAAAATACAGTAGACAGGACTTGTCTTTTACTCTATATTCACTGGCGAATCTGCTCATAGGCCCAAATTTGCTCAAGATGTGATGTGGTTGTTATGCGATCTTATCTTCTGTAAGTTGTTTAATAGCACTGTAGATTTACCCCATCGTATTAAAATCCAATCACTGTGCGATACACGAGGACTTATCTTTGTGTCTGTCTTGTGGTAGACTAGGCTATTCCATGTTTTTTGCTTTATCTTTAGGGACCTTACACAAAACACGACAACATGGCAATGAGTAAAGCAATGGATCTTCTAGTGCGTTATGTGCATTTCGTAGCTGCCCTTTGCAAATAAATTCTAGAAATTGACTTTTCTCATGAATAAAACATTTAAAACTTTAAATAAAAAATGCACATACATTGTACCCTAGCAGTCTTTAAAAGAGACGACCTAAAACTTCTTATAATTACAGAAAACTAGAACAGATTATCCTATCTATTTTAATATATTTTTTGCGTTTTGTATAATTTTTATTTTTTTATTTTGATCTGGTGTCCAGAGTCCAGCGTCCAGTCCAGATTTTATATTATGCCACGACACATTGTTTATTCGGACCCTATTCGGTCCGTGAGGACCTGGTGTTCCAAACATAAATTAATTGTTGACTACAATATAACCTCGATATACCGAAGGGCCAAGGGACTGGCAAAATATGTTCGCTATAACGAGGTTTCGTTGTATCGAGGTTCTTTTCCAAATATTTTACTATTACTGGGGCCAGGAAAATTGTTCGTCTTACATTAACTATGTTAATTGTAAGGGAATGGAGATATGAAAGACAATTAAGAATTCGAACATACTCAGCATTTACCAAGAAGTTTTTCTCATAATAGCGCATTTGTTTTCGTTCACAGCATTCAAATTCACAATTTTTTTTTTTTAGTAGTCAGTCGTATGCTATTTGCATTTACGCAATTTAGGATGGGTTTCTTTACGGGTGATGGGTGTAAAGGAAATCCACAGTTCTGTTTATGTGCACGCCCTTCTGCACGTGCTAATGGGCTAATTATATAATG